GTCCTTGTCCCGTGACTCGCGATACCCCATCAGACACACGATACGATCCATTCTGTACCAACAAATTGTCCCACCCACCCCCGAGCCACCCTTTAATCAAAATTCCTTGAAAACCCCCAATTCACTACTAAAACCATCGTAAGTGTAGACTTAAGGGATGGACCGATATTTACCCCTATTATCACAAGACGGTTCGTTATACGCATAACGCTGATATCATAGTCTCATTATTACTATATCTGTATGTCCCTAACGAAACAGCATACTTTGTTTCCATACAGCGTCCCATAGATATATCTTTGTAGCAAATCCCACTTGTGATAATAATTAATTTGTTGCAGCATCCAACGGCTATTATAATTGAAATAGTCGATGACTAATATTTTCTAGCTTGACAATCCCTATTGTTTATACTGTCTTGTGAAATTTTTTTTGAAGTTCAGGGAACGTGATTTTTTTTTTTTTTTATTGTCAAAAAAGAAACGTGTGGTAATAATGATTCTATTTTCGAAAAGCGTATAACAAACTTGAAAATGCAATTTTTTTTTTTTTTTTTTTTAAATACGACATGCACACACGGACACCCGCACATACACCTGTCGCTTTATACGATTCAGCTTTCGATAACTTTTTTATACATTTTTTGGCAGACGTACGATACCAAAAAATCTCTTCAGTTTCACTTCCGTTGTTACATGCCCCAAAACTATATTGTACACACGAAACGTGCGTATATACGCTGTATTTTACGTTTACGCAATATGAGGATGATATTACGTATACAACGCGTATAAACGCACCCCAATGCATGCATTCCGATTCGTCGATCCTGCATACGGGACAGCATTTATTTTCCACCTGCCATATCGAATGTTTTCGAAGTTTGATAAATGAAAAGATGGACATTGGATATTTTCGAAAATATCGCGGTGGTATCAATTTTCCAAATTCGATTGGTCAAACGTCGAAAGCATTGTCCCAAGACTAAAGCAAAAAGCCGAATACTTAAGAGTGAAATTTTTCTCGTTGAAAAAAAAAAAATTCGAAAAATTAATTTTATACCCAAGTCAATATTTTTTGTTTTTCAAATTCGGCTTGATTGCTCTATCCATCCCATTAGCTCGAAGCGATTCGAGCCTGTAGCGTTGGAGTGTTATATTTTGAATTTGTGACAGCCGCGTGGCCGTGATGCGAGGCCAGGTTGTTACCGAGCAGGGACTCGGGATAGTCGGAATCCGAGTGTCCGTCGACAGGGATTCCAGATTCGGATTTACTCTGACAAGAGCAGGCGGCTGGTGAGTATCCTCAATTTCATTGACTTAAGATACATTAATTTTCCAAAAAGTAACCGCATACCAAGGACAGACAAAAGTATATAGTATAAAGGTTGATCTAAAAAAATTTTTACTTTTCGGATTCAACTGTCAATTTTTTTTAATATTCCCACAACTGTCTGCCTGGTACGTATCCTGAAGTAGCAAAGTGTGGTAGGCAATGTAGTACCCGCTAGCTAATAGGATTAGGATGCATTGTAACGAGGGAGTTGCTAGAATGTGTAGGATGAAGCACCCCTATCAGACAGGTACCAACCCTTAACTACATACCTACCTGTCTACCTATACCGTAGAGTCCTGGCGAGGTATAATCCGTTGCTGCGCCGTTAGAAGGACCAGGACGCCAAACCACATCAAAGCTCAGGCTAATGACGTTGAAAGCTCGCTAATTACTCCATGCAAACCCATAGGATTAGGTCGACCAGGTCGCAACTCCTACGAAACCCCGTTAGACCCTGATGAAAAGCCCCAGTCTCGTGTACTATGCTGGTGTACCTTGGCGACGTATGCTCAAAAGAAGCTTATGAGACTAGAGAATATATTATCGATTATTTAGATTTGGCATTTCTGTTAAAACATTTTCTAATGAAACATTTTACCTTGTTCAATCTGATTTTAAGTTTGACCTTGTACTTGGAGAAGTTGATAACAATTTTTTCTTCTGCGTCAAACAGGTTCGACGTACTCGTTAATGGAGGTGGTGCTGTCACGCTTCAGTTTCAACGAAGTCCTTTTAAGCCTCTTACCAGGACTGTGTTTGTACCATGGAATCAGATAGTAGTCCTGCCACCAGTGGCTATGACGCTGAGCGAAGAAAGTGAATCTTACAAGACCAAACAGCCACCAAGTCCTGCGGTTGGTGAGTAACGGGATGATGATGATTTAAATTGTTTGACTTGGACCTGTTCTTAGGAGCTTAAGATATTTGGATGCTGGATACTGAAGAGTGATATTGATTTTTAGGGTTCCCAGGTGTTTCCATGGGTATGTTCGTGGAGCAAGGTCCATGTCTGGAGCATGATCACGAGACTTTGAGACCCATAATCGTGGGTACCTGGATGCCTGAGAAAGTTGGTGGTCTACCTGGCAAGAGTTTGGTCTTTGCAGAGAGTCAAGTAAGTGCCTTGGATTAGAATTGGACCGAATGGAGCCAATGAAGATTTAACGGTTGGCTCATATGATTCCTTAAGCTCGAGCTGAAGTAATCTGATAGATTCTTGTGTCATTCAGATTGTACAGGAGAGCATAGACATCCCAGGATCCAATTTGCATCTGATGTACCAGAGTAGTCAGGCGGCGGGATACATGTCGACTGTGAGGATGCAGTTGACTGGACCCAGCATCCCAAAGTCATTGACCCACGTACACGTTCACGTGGAGATAGAAGGTTCTCTCCATACGAAAACGTACGAGGCTGATCCCAATCTGACGCACACCTTCGCCTGGAACAAGTGGAACGTCTACAAGCAAAAGGTCTACGGAGTGGCCCAGGCCAGGATATCTATTGGTTACCAGCATTCTACGTGTCCGTCGATCATATGGGAAACGCAGACAGCAACCATGCAAGGCTTCGACGTGGACATCTCTGACGTGGGTGGCTGGGGTCTGGATATTCATCATCATTACAACTTCCACGAGGGTATTCTACAGAAAGGAGACGGCTCCACTCTTCACTTCAAACAATATCCGCGAACCGTTAAAGTCGTCATGGGCACGGGACTCCAGAGGAACCTCCTCTGCGAGAACTGCGAAGGTCTGGCTAAGGACGCACGACTCCTGACGCCCGTAGCACTGACCAGTGGACCTGACGGCTCTATCTACGTCGGTGACTTCAATCTGGTGCGCAGAATCAATCCTGATGGAGAGGTCAACACCATACTGATCCTGAGGTGGGTTATCTGAGAAATAAAAAAAATAAATAGATTATAAAAATTCCTTGAACGTTTATCATATTCTTTTTTTAATTTCAGCGCTACCCAAGTGGCTTATCAGTATTACCTCTGCGTATCACCAGCTGACGGGCATTTGTACATAAGTGATCCTGAGAAACATCAAATACTAAGAGCACTGTCTTTGACCAGCGTGCCAGATCCAAGTATCAACATCGAACCGGTAGTAGGAAGTGGGGAACGGTGTATTCCAGGAGATGAGGGACACTGCGGCGACGAGGGTCCTGCGATTCGTGCCAAGTTGGCTCATCCCAAAGGAATTGCTATTGCTGCTGACAAGACCATGTATATAGCAGACGGCACCAATATAAGAGCCGTCGACCCTCAAGGAAACATTCATACCCTGGTGGGTCATCACGGGCACCATAATCATTGGTCACCTGCTCCCTGTGCAGGGGCAATTCCAGCACATCAGGCACAACTTCAATGGCCCACTGGATTAACTCTGAGTCCTTTGGATGGATCTCTGCACTTTATAGACGACCGTCTTGTTCTGAAGCTCACCAGTGACCTCAAGGTGCGCGTCGTGGCCGGAACACCCTTACACTGCACCAGTAATGCCAACACTGAGATGAAAGTTAACGTAACTGGACCAGGTACTAGAAAACCTGATGAAGTCCTGGGTTCGGTCTTGGCCGTTGGCTTCAGCCCCACGGGAGAATTGTATATTGCTGACAGCGATTCCCATCGAGTTAACTCCATTAGGATTGTGGATTCGTCTGGGAAGATGTCCTACTTTGCTGGCCAGAATCAGGAACATCTACGGGGACAATGCGAGTGTAACAATACCACGCCAACGTCTAAGGATCATGAATCTTCGTGCGCGTGTACCGACGATACCAGCTCCACGGAAACTCTGTTATCATCGAACGCCAAGTTCACTGCCATTTCCGCTTTGGCCGTGTCGCCAGATGGAGTTCTTCATGTCGCTGACCAAGGCAGCCTGCACATCTTAGCTCTGCAGCCCTATCTGCCCAATCACGATGATGCTGGCGAGTTTCATATTCCATTCCCACCCTCTAACGAGGTTTACGTGTTTAACAGATATGGGCAACACGTGACCACCAAAGATCTCACTTCCGGAAAAACAAGATACTCTTTCCTGTACAGCAAGAACACGAGTTTTGGCAAATTGTCGACTGTCACTGACAGTGCTGGCAGCAAGATCCAGTTTCTGAGGGACTACAGCAACGTCGTGAGCTCCATCGAGAATACCCAGGATCACAAATCCGAGTTGAAAATATCTGGAGTTGGCTTCTTGGTGAAGCTGTCTGAGAGAGGAAGATCCGAGATTGCCCTGGATTATGACAGCGCTACTGGTCTTCTAACCAGTAGATCAGGTGGAGGAGAGACCTATATTTACAACTACGACAGTCTAGGTCGTGTTACTGATGTCATTTTACCGACTGGTGAGAAGCTGAACCTTAACTCGGGACTGTCCACCGAGAAAGGATTGATTGTCAAGGTATCAGCGCCATTGCAAGCATTGACTAAAGGAGATAGTCAGAGGTTCCTGGAATTCACCATGAAGAACGAGAGGTCGAAGATCCTCACTATCACAGATGGTACCAAGGTCAAGAAGGCTACCTCCTTTACCAACAGCAGCCTGGAAGTTCATTTACCTGGTGGTGGAAAACTACTTAGTGCTGCTCATGCGAAGCATCCACTTTTAGAAGCAGCATTACCAGTTGAGGCAGAAATGCTGCCCATGTGGAGCTATCAGGTAATGACCCTCGGTGAACTGACGAACTCCATGACCACCAGCTACAATCTGGTGGGTGACGTCAGCCATCTTCAACAGACTCTCAACCGCGAGATCTGGGTCAACGATACTAGGGTCATCGGAGTCGAGTTTGAACAAGCCTTCAGCAGGGAAACATTCTACGACAAGATCAGGAATCCGCTGCTGACTGTCACCTTTGACCCGGCTGGTTTACCTCTGGCCTGGCAACCTTATCAACATGGGCATAATCTCACTATCAGTTACGATCGTTTCAATAGGATTGACAGTTGGCGCTGGGGACCTTCTGATGAATCCTACGCCTACGACAGGCATGGACAACTCTCTGAGATAAGCAATAGTCAGAACGACACTAAGAGGTACACCTACAACGACTTCAACATGCTCTCCAAGATCACCCTTCCCAGCAACAGACACTTCTCACTTCAGTACGATGACGACGGTGGACTAAGGCACATAATCCTACCATCAGGAACCAAGCACTCGTTCTCGTGCCAGGCATCCTTAGGCTTCCTCAGGGTGACCTACACTCCTCCAGGAAGTTCTAGAGCTTATCTCCAGCATTACAGCCATGACGGTAACCTGCTGCAAACAGTCTTCCCCGGTGATGGCGCTAGGATCGTTTACAGATACCACACGTCCGGACAAATAGCTGAAGTGGTCCACGGTGACGGGAAGAGCGAGATCAGGTACATAGAAAACGGTCTACCATCTGAAGTCATCCATTCCGAACGCGACGTGGACTACAAATGGGACTACCAATACAATGCTGGTTTGCTGATAGAAGAAAGGATTGACTTTGAAGCTAAGACTGGTCTGAGCAATGCTAAATTCACTTTCGACTACGACTCCAACTTCAGGCTTATAGCTGTTCAAGGTCGCATAGGAGGCCAAACACTTCCAGCGCACATTATGGCATACAGTCCACGCACGGGTACTCTGGAACAGATCGGTCAGTTCAAAGTGACCAAGCCTCGAATAAATGAGACAACCGTCTTTGACGGCACCGCCATTTTCTCGCGCACCACTGACGGACGTTTCCTGGAGACTCAAGTCACAGTCACCATTCACGGAATGGAAGTCTTCCGTATGGAGTTCACCCACGACTCCTGTGGTCGCATCAATCAGACTAGGACCTACACCAGAAACGTCGGCGTGAACACCTATACCAACGTCAAGAATTACACCTGGGACTGCGACGGTCAGTTAACCGGGGTCGAAGCACAAGAACCATGGGAATTCCGATACGACGCCAATGGTAACATGCTCTCACTGACTTATCGCGGCAACACCATACCAATGGAGTATAACGCCATGGACCATATAGTCAAGTTTGGTGATGGCCTGTACAAGTATGACAATCGTGGACTGGTCGTGCAGAATGCACGTGAAGAAAGATTCAGCTACAATGCCAAAGGATTGTTGGTTAGAGCCACGAAAAGGGGTCGTTTTGACGTGCGTTATTACTATGATCATCTAGACAGACTCGCTACGAGGAAAGACAACTATGGCAATGTCACGCAATTCTTTTACAACAATCAGCAACGACCCCACGAAGTCAGTCAGATCTACAGTCCTAGAGACGGCAAGCTCATGTCCCTGGTCTACGATGATAGAGGTCATCTGATCTACGCTCAGGTCTACAGGCACAAGTATTACATAGCTACCGATCAATGTGGCACGCCTACTATGATCTTTAATCAATATGGTGAAGGTATCAGAGAAATCATGAGGTCGCCATATGGTCATATCGTCTACGACTCGAATCCTTATCTTTATTTGCCAGTCGATTTCTGTGGTGGACTTTTGGATCAGGTTTGTAAATGAACTGCTATTTGCTCAGAGTAAGTATAGTTATGCGAGGCTTTACTGATGGTTTTTATTTATAGGTCACGTCCCTGGTACATATGCCTAATGGAAAAGTTTATGATCCATTGATCGGTCAGTGGATGTCGCCATTGTGGGAAAACGTCCTGGACAGGATAGCCACACCTACGCATTTGAATCTCTATCGATTCAATGGTAACGATCCCTTAGACGTGCGACATCATAGGCAGAATCAGCCTACAGGTAATTGATAGATCCCAAAGTATTATTTATTAGACTAAGTTATAAATATGAAAAATCTAAAATGAATCTTTTTTGTTAGATCACATATCCTGGCTGTCGCATCTGGGTTACGACTTGAAGAGCCTAGCTCCACAGCTTTTCCCGGAATCGTTACCAGACGGTCTGATCCCACCAGCTCTGGGCCCGGGAACATCAATATTTGGCAGTAAAGACAGAACGCGTAACTTGGGCGTGAAATCCGGTTTCTTGGCACACATAGCCCAGAGACACTCAGGCGACGCTGCTGGTCTATCCGCACCTCCTCGATCGGCCTTGAAAAAGGATACCAGTGACCTAGTGCCAAATCGTCTAGGCGCAGCCTCGGATCCACCCTTCGGCAAGGGTATCCTAGTCTCCAGGACGATCGATGGCCGCGCAGTTGTCTCCAGCGTCCCAGCAGCCAATCGGATTTACAACGACGTCTTCACGACCGTATTCAACAGGTCACACTTCCTCCCGTTCACCTTCCTGGTGCACAGCGCACAGCAAGACGCATTCTACTTCGTCAAGGAGGAGACGTGGAAGGTGGCCGAGGACAAGGGTCAGCTCAAGAGACTCGGCGGTCAAGTAAACACGACCTTCCACGGTAGCGAGAACGGAAGCGGAAGCAGCGGTGTGATTGACGTTAAAATTCATGGAGCAAGTGCAGTAGTCAATCTGAGGTATGGTACCACTGCCGAAAAGGAGAAACAGAGGTTGTTGCACCATGCCAAGGCTACGGCTGTCAGGAAGGCCTGGCACAGGGAACGCGAAGCTCTCAAAGGCAACACGCCGACCTCCATCGAATGGATGGTCCCGGAACAGGACGAGATCCTGAAGGTCGGTATGGCCTCGAATTACGAAGGCGAATACGTTCACGATGCCCAGGTCTATCCGGAGCTCGCGGAGGATCCCTACAACATCAGATTCGTGAAGAAGTCGTTGGAAACAACGAGCAAGAAGCGACGTCGAAGGAGAGGTGCACCACCCTCCTGTGAGCTATGGTGGCTCGACAAGTTCTGCTAGGACGAGGGACTTTCTAGATACTTGAATTGGATTGTAAGTAATAACGACGTAAGGAGACAAGAGAGATCAGCAAGTACGAAGAAACCGAGTAAGGATTTCGCATGGATGGGCAAAATCCAAATACGGAAGTCCAAGCCGCTGCGCACGCTCAGCGTCCCATGCACACACCGAACACTATCAAATGAAAAAAAAAAGTTTTATACCAAAGTCTATTTGTGTATTTCAGAGATGCCAAAAAAAAAGAACACTAACGTTAACGATATAAGGCTCTTTAGTCGTTAAGGATCTAATGATGTCGCGCGATGGGCTCATGGATAATGTCCATGAGAGCAATGACTGATTTCATTCTCACGAATCAGGGGAAAAAAGGGACTCTCGGCGAGGAGCTTCCTCGGGATAATGAAGGATATCTTCTGACGGTGTCTTTTAACCTTCGGGGACGTTTTGCGACTCCTTGATACTTTTTTTCTCAAGACACTCCCCCGCCCTGATCCTCGAGGGTCCCGAGGATCGGGCAGCCCGCGTACAGAAGGGTCAATCGGATTCTAGTATAAGGAATAGAGGAAGAACGAAAAAAAGAAAAGGAACGTCACTAACTGGATTCCAAAGGATTATTGCACAAGAACGGTCAAGTGGATCAAGTTGGCAATAGGGATGGAGAGAAGAAAAAGAAAAAGAAGAAAACTATCAGTAAGGCCATTCGTAACCGAGCTGTGAAGTATCGAGTGAGAGAACCTAGTCAATACGTAGCATAAAGAAGCTAATTATCCATTGGGGTGGTGGGTGGGTG